GGCCGGGCACTGCTGAGGAACCCAGTGGGAGGGAGCCGTGGAAGGGGGAGGCGGTTGAAGGCCCCCCAGGCGGCCCCCTCCTCTTTCTGGAAGGAGATTGCAAGCTTTGGATCCCACGGGGGCCTGGGTCAGAAAACCCCCCCTTGTGGCGCAAGAGGCAGCCCCCCCCCCCCCCCCCCCCCCCCCCCGGGGGGAGATCCCCCCCCGAAAAACCCCCCGGGGCGGGGGGCCGCGGCCCAAGGGAGGGGGGCCGGGGGGGGGGGGCGGGGGGGGCTGGTGGGGGGGGGGGGGGGGGGGGGGGGGGGCTGCCTCTTGCGCCACAAGGGGGGGTTTTCTGACCCAGGCCCCCGTGGGATCCAAAGCTTGCAATCTCCTTCCAGAAAGAGGAGGGGGCCGCCTGGGGGGCCTTCAACCGCCTCCCCCTTCCACGGCTCCCTCCCACTGGGTTCCTCAGCAGTGCCCGGCCGCTCGGAGCCTTGACCCGCCAGGCCAGGAGCCTCTTCCCCAGGGGCCCTGCAGCTGCCGGAGGGAGCCCGCTGGCCTCCAAGCAGACCCTCCCCCCCGGGCTAAGAGCCGTCGGCCCTCTGTCTTTGCGGGACCGGGAGCTCTGGGAGAGGAAGGCACCTGGGCACCGGCCGGCCGGGGGTGGGAAGCGCCTGGGCAACCTTCACGGATGGCTGTGCTCTGCAGGTTCCTGGAGGCGCTGGGCACGGCCTTCGGGCTGATCTCCCGGGAGACGGAGTCCAAGATCGGCATCCTGCAGCGGCACCAGGAGGGGCCGCACGGCCTCCACTACCGCACGGTGCAATCCATGGTGGCCTTTGAGCTGTCCTCGGGCCTGGTGGGCTTCCAGTCCCTGCCGGCCCACCAGCCTCCCTCGGGCTGCCGGACGCTGCTGCGCCTCCATCGCGCCCTGAAGTGGCTGGAGCTCTTCCTGCACAAGCTGGGCACCAGCCCGAAGGACGGGAAGCCCTCCCGGATGTGCGCGGAGGCCTACCGGGTGGCCCTGGCCCCCTACCACAGCTGGTGGGTGAAGCAGGCCGTTGCCCTGGCCTTCCTGGCCATGCCCTCCCGCCAGGAGCTCTACCGCATCATCGTGCGGGGGGAGAAGCCGGCGGCTGTCCTGGCCACGGTGGAGAGCCTGGGCCGGGTGTACAACATCACCCAGGAGGTCTACTCTGCCCACGGGATGCTGGAGCTGCCCTAAGGACGCCCAGGGCAACGCGGTGGGTTTCACGCCCGGCAACCGAAGGACCCGTCCGGGGCCAGAGGGCTGAAAGTGCCTGCCCCTGCGCCACCATGCACCGCCCAGAGAGCAGCCCCCCTTCAGCGCCTGGGGGTCCCCAGTGGAAGACGGCAGGGCTCCCTTCGTGGGAAGACCTGAATAAAGAGCCTTGGGACCCAGAACCAACCATGCCTCGTGACTGCCCTCTGCTGGTCCGGCTGGGCCCCTTTTTCATCCGTACAGGAAGCGGCACCCCATTGCATCTCCTGCACCCCAAGGGTGGGTTAGAGCGCCCCCACCCACCCACCCCGGGCTGTGGTTCAGCTGGACACCGCCTGCCCCTCTGCCCCTAGGCTGGGGAAGGGCGGCATGCAGGGGCTCCACGTGGAGGGAAGCAGGCACTGCCCTCCGACCCAGGTACAGCCCCTCTGCTCTGCAGCCCCTTTGCCTTTGCAAGCCAAGCAGGGCTGCTGCCAGCCAGGCTTTTCTCGGGGTGACTCTCTGGTTGAGTTGAGAGGTTCAGAAAACTCGGTAACTGAGGCCCAAACACAATCATTACTGAAGAGGGAGGAAAGAGTGGGGGGGGATGCCTGATAAGACCCTGTGGTTGAACAAAGAGCTCTGAAAAACAGAACCAAAAACAACAGCCATAAAACAGGGAGAGAGATAACAAATGCAGCACATCAGAGAACAGGCTGAACCTGCAAGGCTGGGGGATCCCGGAAGGCCCAGCAAGAGACGGGGGGGGGGGGCTCCCTACCCGTGCCAAAAGTAACCGAAGGCCTCTTGGGGCTTCTCCAGAGAGAGAAGGGACCTAACCCACCTGTGGGTAGAAAAGAGGGCAAGGCTGGAGCGGAGCCAATAGGCTTCCGATATGTAAGGAATTGGGGGGGGGAGGGGAGGGTAGCAGACCGAAACATACCTGGGAAAATCCCAGAAAAGGAAAACAAGCATGAAACCCAAGGAATGTGGGGGGGGGGATTCCCGGAAGGGTCCTGCCAGAGGAATCTCATTACTTTATTTGACTAGATTAGTGGGCCAAAGGAATGGCGTGGGAGTGGGGGTGGTTGGGCACTTGATAAGGCTGGCCTCCTTCTTGACAAAATTGAATTAGTTTAGTTTAGTTTAGTTTATTGATCTTGTATGCCGCCCACTCCCGAAGGACTCCGGGCGGCTCACAATAAACAAGGGAAGGGGATAAATAAACAAAATAACACTTTAAAATATACAAAATTCACAGTTACCATGGGGCTGGATGTTTCACAAGCCCCCCCGGCCTGCTGGAGCAGCCAGGACTTAACGGCTTTGCGGAAGGCCGGAAGGGTAGTAAGGGTCCG